TGTAATTGAGAACATAATTTGGCTCAAACCCTGGGAGACTGAAAAGGATCACAGCAGCCACTGTATTAAGGCAATGTTCAAAACAGTTGGCTCACACTGAATTTCATAAGCAGATCATGTATTCAGAAGGCTTTAGCTGTATGACACAGTCCACTGCAAAAGAAGAGATGGTGGGTGTATCTCTTTGTTCATCTTAACTAAAACAGCACGCCAGGAAAAGCTATCAAACTCGGTCTTGTACCTACGTGGGAGGCGATGTGGCAGAACAGATAAAGTACCTCCCTGTGGGTGCGTGAGGACAAACCTGGCGAGAGCTGCGTGAAGGCTGCCCGCGGTTATCCCAGCTCCCAGCGGTCACGCCGGGAGCCAGCGGCGGTGGGGCTTCATCCTGGCTGGGTGGAGGTGGAGGTGGTGCTGGCGGCAGCAGCCAACGCACCCCCGTCGTGTCCCCTTGGGGGTGATGGCACCTCTGGGGCTGGGCGTGAGGAGGTCAGGTAGAGGTGGACTTTAAGTAAAGGAGAGGATAGACATCGGCCTGAGAAAGCCCAAAATATTCACAAAAGCAGAATGGCTGCTGGAAGCCTCCTTTGGAAACCCCTTCCTGCCGCCCCGTGGGGCTGCCAGGCGTGAAGGTGGCATTCAGTGACTCTGGTAGCTTGTGGAAGATTGGACCCATGTCACAACGTCACTGGTGGCACCTGCCCTCTGCCAGAGAGGCTTGCTTCCATGCTGCTACTTAGTCTTTGAGGAAAGGTGGCCAAAATTGGCGATTCATGTGTCACAGAAAAGCTTAGGGGGGCAGATATCTAAGTTTTCTGCTCTGTCTAGGGGAGGAGAAGGAGGTTTCTTGATGCAAGAAAAATCCTGAAGAAGGAAATAATGCCTTTACAAGAAAAGAGTGTGCAGGGGGGTATGGTTGATTGAGTATCTGTTTATTCCCAAGTTTGCTGGCAGTCCTGCTCAGGCTGATGTCCTCCAAAAGAGACAGGCATTCTGGGACTGCACTTTCGACCATTCCTTGAGCACTTAGCGGGAGGGATTGTTTTATTAGGAAAGTTTACGGCTTCTTGTTTTCCCTCAAAGGCAAATGTGACTTTGTTGTTTTTAATTCTGTTGGGATTTCTCCCTTTTAATATACAACGCAGCTGTTAAAATAGCTGGGGTTGTCTAGGGCAAATCATATAGCACTTTCCTTGTTCAGATCTCAGATGGCTGCCTTTTTAGTGTTGCTGCAGAATTATATTACAGGGCATATGAATAGTGCTGGTATTAGTGTCAAAATCAATTACCCAACCCTCCTCCTGCAGAGAAAGCTACAAACCTTAGGAACAATCTGAGTAATCTATTCTGGGTTTCTAATTCTGAGTAATGACGGAGGGCAGAGTTGTGCTTGAATAAGTGCACAGGGTCTTTCTCCGTATAGTCACTCCTAAATGCATGCTCTTTACAGGAAAAAGCAGGCTCCCTGTGAAACCCTTTTTCATGCCAAATGGCTCGCTGCTAAGATTAATCTGTCATTGAATTTATAAATTCTGTGTGGCACAGAGCAGCGGAAAAAGTTTAGCATTGAACAGAAAGCAAACTATGTATTGCTTAAAAAATGAATGTTGTGCTCCTGGATGGTGTGGATTGACTGCCTCCGTCAATATATCTTCTTATACTGGTAATAAAAATACTTCCATAGCCTTGTGCCTCCGAGGATCTCAAAGCACTTTGCAAATAGGGCAAAGTACTATTTCCTATTTTATGGCTGTGGAAACCAGCTGTGGGAGAGGTTAAACTTTTTGCCCAGGGACACAGAGGAGACTGTAGCAGAGCCAAGGTGGGAACCTAAATCTCCAGAGCTGCAGCGCTGTGTCCTGGTCGCACACTGCACCAAAGCACAGCAGGGGAGTCTGCTGGTCACTGGCTCTCAGCCATCCATCGTCCGTGAAACCTCGGGAGGTGGGATATGAAATCAGTGTGGGTGCTCCTTCGCTCCCGGGTCTCTGTCCTGGTCTGTGGGTGGGTGTGCTGAGCAGGGCAGGATCCGGCCGGGGAGGATGCTTGTGTCCTCCCGGGCTGGGACGGTCAGCTCTGGTTGTGGGTGGCTGTGGAAGGAGAACGACTTTTGGTCACTGCTGACTCGGGGAAAAGCTCAGAGCCTCGCATCCAGCCTGCTCTGACCCAAGCACCTTTATGAAGCAAAAATAACTATAGACTTACTACACTAAATCCTGCAAGATTAGAGTAGTTGTATGCTTTCTTTTTTTTCCTAAGCCAGTATTTGAGAAGGATTTACCTGTTTAATACAACCATTTATTAGAAACACTTGATTTTTTTTTTTTAAATTCATAATTCATCTGAAAAGAGAGCATACAGCTACAAAGGCCAGATTTTCAAATACGGGCCTGATCTCTTGTCAAATTCCAGTTGGATAAATGACACATCTGAAAACCTGGGTCCCTACTGAGGGGTCTGTGGCAGTGGTTTAGAGATCTCGCTTCGGATACCTCTCTGGACAAAAGCACGGCTCTAACCTGCGTGTTTCACGGGAGAACAATTTCTCTTACCAGTTTTTTCCTTCCCCTGCCTGGCTGCTGTGCTCCGCAGCCCCCCGAGGAAGCTCCCTCAGGCATGAGGCTGCCCTGAGGGTCAGGGTAACGGGGAGGCAGGAGGCTGGGAGGGGTGCGAGGGCGAGCGTCTGGTTTCAAACAAAAGTGCAAAGCCTTGAAAGGAGGGACTAAGAAGAAACAGGTGGGGGGCTCGTAATATAGCCTCTGAAGTTTATTTGCTTAACGAACAGAAGCCCAGGCTGTCAGACCCAGGTCAAATACTCCTCCAGTTTGAGTGTATTTATTTCCTACGTGGTCTGTAACCCAACCTGATTTCTGGATTAAACCACTGTAAAGTCCTGGCCCCCAGGAACCCATCCCATGTTTGCCATCAAGCCCAGCACATGCCGGGGCAGGACCTCTGAGGGGCCACCTCGGCATTCACTGGAGCCTTGTGTCATCAGTAAAGCCTGTAATTGCGGGTCCCGTCATTTCCAATGCAAGCTTCGCTGTTTACAGCTGCAAATCGTGACCGCAGATCCATCACTTAGTTGTGCCATTAATGCGAGCCGTGCCTGGGGGCTCCTGGGATAAGCTGCTGGGGCTGCGGCACACAGCTGCTCGGTGGGCCATCGTCCTGCCGGAGCCCAGGCAGCGGTGACAATGCTGGAGGACAACATCCACCACATGCCAGCTCCCTCTAGGGTGCCGGCAAGGGTAGCTCTGTATTTATAAGAAAGTTTGAAAGTCGCTCAGAGGAGGAAATGGTTTAGGACAGCCTGTCTTGAACAGCAGTGCAACGTGGAGGGTCTCCAACGGTGGGTGGGTGCGAGGGAGCCTGGGAGCACGGGGCCACGCGCTGAGCCGTGGAGCTCCTCCTGGAGCAGGGAAAGAGGGTCTTGGCTTTCCTGCTTGTCTGTCCTGAAGTTACAGCACAAAAACTGCTGGAAAACCAGCAAAATAGCAAGAGGAGAGGGAAAAAAAAAAATAAATCACAAAACAAAGTGCTTATGCCAGGGTCATGAACAACTGAAGGGTAAAAGCTGCAGATCACACATGGGAGTTTCTGAAATCTTTGTGTGTTTTAAAGTTTTTAGGAGAGTTAACTTTTTAATCCAAGATGTTCAGGAGTCAGTTAATCCTCCAGAGTGAAGGGGGGGAAGTTTGAGCTGGCACAACGGCAGTAAAACTACCTGCAGACAAAAAAATGTTTTCTGGTTTCCCAGACATTTTTTGGCTGATCCCATTAATTCCAGTAAGGTAAACAGCCAGTGTGCTCCGGAGTATCTCAGGAGCTGAAAAATTTGCATCTGAAAATTTGCATATGAAAAATTACAGATCTGCATTAAAATCAGAAAGGAAAGGAAGAATTAGCAGTGGGTTTTCCCAAGACCAGACTGAGGCCAGTAGTGCCAGGTAACTGTGTGGGTTCTGCAAAAACAGGAGTCACGTGGTGACATTTGAAATAAAACAAGTTAAAACGGGGCAACCTAAAGTATTTGCAGTCAGAAATGAAGCATGCCTCCTCATTTAAGAGAAGCCCCACTTTTACGTTCAATTTGGGATACACATGTGTTTGCTTTTGGGAGACCAGTTGAATCATGCAGAACAAACAAGCTAACAAAAAGTTTAGGAGCTGTTATTTTTCATGGACCTAAGTTTAAAAAAAACAGGTTATTTGTGCCTTGGTATCTTCTTGCTTCACAGAGCTTTCAGTGGCACTTAATTCACCATTTGTAATGGGGATAGAGCTGTGGCTGATTTTCAGATGCGACCGGTCAGGATAGAAGAACTTGCTTGGGAGGGAGAGGAATCGGTAGATGTTAGTCCTTACCAGCGACAGCTGGATGGGTTCTGGCAGACCTGCTGTGGCTTATCCGTAAGCACTGTTGAAATGTTCTGGTCGGGGCACTGGCTCAGAAACAGCACACAGAATAAGCACCAACTGGGGAAAAGAAAAAAAAAAAAACACCTTAAAAGTATTTTTATCTCTACTTTTATTGGAAGTTTTTAGCTGACTCGTTTTTTTGTTATGATGGGCTAGGTTACATATAGGATGGACAAATTGGTTTTATACACGCTATATTTTTTGCGTCTCACCTGTCCTTTAATCCTGGAAAGCCCTTTGGACCTGTAAGCTTTATTATGTAGCCCAAGTTTAAGTGGGGAAAAAATGCATTTTGGTCTTGATCCTTTTAGGTCTTCAACTGCCTGAAGCCAGCGGGATGTGAGAATACCCATCCCTTTGCAGGGTTGTGTCCTTTTTGCTTGCAACTGCTGCACTGGCTGGGCCGCTGGAGTTAGAAACCCCGGAAACCTTTGCTGCTCGCCATTTACTTTTGAGCTCTGCCGAACCATCGGCCGCTTCCTCGTGGAGCTGATTTTGCCTGTTTTGTGAGTGGTGACCAGAATCTGGTTTTGTTTTATGTCCTGTAGGGTTGCTGAGCTGGAAGATGCACATCTAAGATGGAAACTTCTGCTTCAACTGCTGCTGGGAAAAAAGAAGGGAAAGGTGCAGTTCTGGAGGGGAATGGCTTTACGGAGACGGGGAAGAAACCCACTCCTTTAGCAGCTGCAGGAGCAGCAGTGGCACAAGGAGGTACTTTATGTTTTCCAGAATTTGAAAGCAGCAGGGGTGTTTTTCATTAGACTGTAAGAATTTAATAAGTACAGTGGCATCTGTCCTCCTGTGAACACGCTGAGTTTATTGGGGTTCTCGGCCGTCGGAGGTCACAGGAGCGGGAAGCCGTGTCACCGCGTGGCGTCCAAACGTCACTGCGCCGTGACGAGTCGCCGCCGGTCCCAGCGAATGGGGCTGGGGTGAGGGAGAGCACGGGTGGGCAGAGGTGGCCGTCGGAGAGCTGAGGCATCCCATCGCTGCTTGCCACCGGCCGCCCGACCGGTGCTGCGCGGTGTAGGCAGCACGGTGCCTGCTCCTCCTCCACGGCTGGCTGGGGAGGCTGGCTGGAGCTGGGGAGCACCCTCTTATCACGGCCGGGGAGGGGTGTTGCGTGCCGGCTGTGATCCTGCTAATGAGCTAAACAGACTGCACCGTCTTCCGTTATTGCTGCTGGGATTTCACGGTTAGGGAGGCATTTGGGATCGTCCAGTTCCAATGCAAGAAGGTTCACAAAGAAACTGCCTAACTTGCGCCGTTCAGAAATAGCTCAGGTCCTGATTTCTTTTTCCTGTCCGTGTTTTTGGCAAGATTTTGGTCCTGCTGGTGTTGAAGTCAATTAGGAAGCTGTCGTGGACACCCATGGGCATGGGGTCATTTTTGGCAGGTGTGTGGGGGTCATGCAGGCACGTTGCTCCTGCCTCCTCTCACCCACTACGGCAGACAAAACGCAGCCCCAGAAAACACGTCCCTCTCTGGCACGCGTGTGCTGGTGGATTGCCAAATTGGTGCCAGGGGCCCCGTGTGGTGGCTCCAGCTGTGGGCAAGGCTGTGCCCACCAGGGAGGCACTACACTGCCCTTGCTGGGGACTGGGACTGGGACTGGGCATCCTTTCTGGAGAGGGCATAAGGAGACAAACTTAGAAGGGGCTGCACCAGCTTGGATGTGACAAGAGACATCACAGCTGTGTAAACTTTGCAGGCAGCTTTTTTTTTTCCCTCTCTAAAATATACCTTATAGCTAGCCAGAGTCTACCTCAAAATAAACCCTTCTCCTCCCTGTCCTTCACTGCAGGGTGGTTTCTCATCACCCCATGAGAGCAGCACAACTCCCCTGTGGGCTCCTCTGTTTCTTACACAGCTCAGCTGGAGAGTTTTTGTTTTCTGTTGGCTGAGTTTTGAAGATAGTTCCCAGCCCAAATTGCTTAAATCTGCTTTATCCATCCTTCCTTTTCAACACCTTTGTTACTCAGTTTTTGTTTCTACATTGACCTAGGAAGATTCAGATGTACAGAATAAGGTAGCAGCTGCTAGATTATAATCTATAAGATTAGTTTGTGTGTTTGATAAACTTTGTTAGCTTTTGTTATCCAAAGGAAAGGTTTTCTTAAAAAGAACTAGAAAATCTTTTACACCTTCCTTGTGAGCACTATGCAAAGTGGCAGAAGGGAAGGCTTGCTGGGCAGCAGAAATAGGGGAAAGGCAGAGACAGCAACATGCGGAATTTTGCCATCCCCCAGCAGATTTTGATCCCCGTTGAAGAAGCACAGGCTGTAGGAACAACTGAGGCAGCCCACTTGAGGCATCACCTCAGCAACTGGCAGAACCAAAGGGCTGATTGGCACCAACGAAGTCCGAAACGTGTGCTAAAATGGAAAACCCACAGATGTGCTGTTCTGAATAAACAGCTTCTCCCCACTTGGCACTTGCCTTGGGAGTGCCTCCACCAAGGAAGCAGTCACCGCATTTCCAGAGATGCGATGGAAATGAGGATGCCCCTGAGGTGGAGCGTCCATCGGCCCATTTGGCACCCTCGGAGACTTGATTGGTTTTTAAGCGTCAGGTATTATATGTCCCATTAGCGGTGTGCTCTCGCCTCTGGAAAGAATGATTTACGGGCTCAATATTTCTCCTTTTATTAAGAGGAAGTGGAGAAGTAAGTGGAGGATTGTTTGAAGGTGTCAGGAGAATTGTGATGAAAGCATTGTGTAATGAGATGTAAAGAGCGAAATCTATGTCATGCTGTGAAGAGAAGTGCTCATAAATGACCTAAAATGGCTAGCAGTGGAGCAGCATGGGATCAGACACCAGCCCCGGGACCCTTCAGGTGATGCACATGCTCTTGCGGTTCGGAGGGCTTTCCTTTGAATTCTGGCTAGACATAATACCTGCTCCTGAAAGGGAGCAGCATGGCGTGTGTGCTTGTAAGTAGAAAAATTAATACAAAGTCATCTTCTAACATCAGTGAACTGCAAGGTGGGATTTAGAAGATAATAACAAAAAGGCTGAGTAGCGATGAGACTGTACTTAAGTGGTATTAACGCTAATATAACATATTTGACTCACTAAACTAGTGTAATTACTCATAACAGGCCAGAAATAAATACATTTATGCTCATTCTTACAGAAGAAAGCAAACGAGGCATGGAGAGTAATTACGATGTTCATCTTGAGGAGGGGAACAGCTTTAAAGGGAGGGCCTCTGAGCTCCCCGCCCTGCTTTGGGGCCATACGAACAAGTCTTTATTCTCATCCAAGACAAACTCTTGATTTTATTTATTGTAGAGGTTTTACTCTTTGTACTAGCATGTGAGAAAGTGGCAGCAAGGCTTAGCTAGTGCTGCAGATCACTAAGCTGCTCTCCAGAGCCAAACAAACGTAATTTGTAACACATTTCTTCTCCTTTATTCTACTGAGTCACACAGATGGAGTGCCAACATAGCATGTTTTTCAGATCATAAGGCTTTCTTTTTCCCTTGTAGAAATGAATAGATTCATAAGCTTTTATTTATAATTAAGGTAATTGAAGCAATAAACTGAATATTAGTTAAATAATTGAAGAATAGCTATTTTATTATATTATTATTCAGACTATATTATTATAAGGTAATAATACGTTCAGTCCCCGTTTCTAGTTGCCGTGCTTTGGATATTTGTCCCAAATGTTTCCAGCCTTGAACAAATTAAGTTATAGCTGTAGGAAAAGAGATGGATATTGTTGATGCTGTCAGTGGAGAAGAGTCCTTTTGTACTAACAATCTGCATTTCATATTTTTAGTCTACTGAAGCTGCCATTTTAGAGATCTTCTGTGACATTTTTTTATAGTAACTCATTGATCAGATGTTCAGAAATTGGCCTCACAGAAATGACATCAGGGAAGTCTCTCCTAATTTTCTATTTTTCCATAAATCATGCCAGCCAAGGAGTCAAAGCTCCTGTCTTCTGTTTCAGTAGGTGCACATGTGTATGTGCGACAGAGATGGGAACTGCTTTTAATGACAGCATGTAGGAGTTGTAGACAAGTCAAATCTGTAGAAGAGCCTCTCGCTTTCAGTGCCTCCACTTCTGGAAGGGCAACTCGTAACACTTCGTATTTAGAAAGCCCTTTTGCTGAATGCAGAAATGCATATTGCTGCGTAGGGTAGGAGACTCTGGAGCAGAGCAGCATGTGAGCGAGACTGGGTTGTGACCTCCAGGCTAGCGCTGCGACACCCTCTGTATCAGCACGCACAAGGAAGCCCAGGCACGTGGCTGAAGGAGAAATTTAAATGAGCCACTCTTTCAAAGGCAGAGATATTGAAGAAGATGGGTTTCTCATCTTGTAATAAAAATTAAATACAAAGTCTCCTAAATGCTAACTGCCTAACTTTAACAAGGCCCAGAATGCACCTTTCCCTCTCCACTCCACCCTCCGCATGACACAAACACCAAGTTCCCAAATTGATGGTGTTTATGTTTGAAACATTTTTCTGATGTCTGGCTCTGTCAAGACTAATTTTAGCATTTCTAAAGCTGGGTAAAAATATAGCCTCATTACTTTGATGTCAGAGCATAGTTTACTATTAGTATATTCTGGGGTTTATCATTTTAGTCATGTTTAACACGGCTGCAGCAGGCATGCACTATTAAATCTGGCTTATTTTACATTCCTGTCTGAGATTATTTATTTGGAACAATTTCCTCTCTATCAAAAGACACGGCTAATGCTGAGTTTTAATGTGTTATTTACACACAAAATAACCTATTTACAACTCAGTATCTGCCGCAGGGAGAATGAATGGGGCAGTGCTCCCTTCATCCTGTTGTATCTGAGTTTAACAATCTGGATTGCTAATAGAACCATTTATCACGGGGTGGTAATTTATTTTATGTTAGCTGCACAGGTCTCCCTGCCTCTGATCTATGGAAATACTTTGTATATAATGAAGTTCAACAAGTCATTTGGTGTAAACATGGGGAAACCAAGCTGCAGAACCAGTAAGACTCTGGCTACACTTTTTTTCCAGAAGGTAAAGACTCTGATATTAAGGCTTCGGTTGATGAAATACAGCTCTTCGACCTGCGTGTGCTGTAAGGGCAGAGTGTGGGGCTTTTCTGCAGTGGATCAGAGATTGGGATGGAGTTTGGTCACTTGATTTACGGGCTGGCGGGAATGCTCAGAGCTGCAGAAGTAGCACACTCAGCCCTTTCATAGGCAGAGGAGAAGGGCAGGGAGCACCTCCCTTCGCTCTCCAGAGGTCTTCTGTAAGCAAGCCCCGAGTGGCGCTGGCAGGGAGTCCTTGTGCAGTTCAGCTTGTCTCAGTGCTGGATTATGGGAAGACCATGTAAATGAGGAGGAGGAAATGCCAGCATCCCAGCAGACCTCAGCGCACTGAAAAAATATATAGTTTGTGTGGCCTGAGACGCAGACAAATTAGAAGGAGAACAGCCCCAATGAAGTCATCTCCTCTGTCCACCCTGGAGGGGCAGGGATCTTCTCCAAAGAATGTTTTTCATTCAGTTGTTCACATGTTCCAGGAAAAGGAATATAACTAGTACAAGCACATTTTTAGCTTCCCTGCCCTGTCTCGCTTTGCTGTACACAACTTAAAACGTTGAGATACGTGCTTAACAGAAAAGCCGGGGTTGGCTCCAGGAGGGAAGGGGGCAAGTGGTAAAAACTGCATGATGGGAAAATCCCATAATTTAGACTGTGAAATTC